CTTCCAAATGGTGCTTGGACGAACTTACAGCCATTCTTCGATGCATGGAATCCAGGAACTCAGTTCTGCCGGTCTTTTATCAGACAGATCCATCTGACGTCGGAAATCAACGGGGATGTTTTGCCGAAGCCTTTACGAAGCATGAACAAAATTCGAGCAGTACCGAAGATAAAGAGAAGGTGGTCCAATGGAAAGCTGATCTAAAAAAAGTATCCAAAATTTGTGGTTGGCACTCGAAGGAATCTAAGTAAGTATGCATGAACAACTTTAATTTCCCATGTCTTAGTAGAGTCAAAATTGGATGCTTCATTTATGTTTTTTTTTATTGGTTATTTCATACCATGTAGGAGTGAAAGTGAGATTATACAACAACTCGTCAAAAGTGTGTGGAGGAAAGTACAAGCTACATTCCCATTGTTAGATTCCCCACAGGAGTTGGTTGGGGTTAATTTTGGGCTTGAGCAACTAAGTTCGTTGTTAGCTCATGATGTCAATGATGTTCGCTTTATAGGGATAACGGGGATGGGTGGCATTGGTAAGACAACCCTTGCTAAGCTTGTTTATGATAGAATCTTCCATCATTTTGAAGTTCACTGCTTTCTCGGCAACGTTAGAGAGGTTTCTAACGTTGATCTTCAAAAAAGACTTCTTTTCCCGGTGTTGAGGGAAAAGATCGAAGAAATTTGGGATGAAGAGCACGGAATCATTTTCATTAAGAAGTGCTTACACAACAAAAAGGTTCTTCTTGTACTTGATGATGTGGATCACATAAACGAACTACAAGTACTAGCTGGAAAGGAAGATTGGTTTGGCATGGGAAGCAGAATTATCATTACAACTAGAAATGAACGTCTGCTAGTCGAGCATGGCATAACATTATGTCATAATGTTGAGGTGTTAAATGATGATGAGGCTCTTGCACTGTTTAGCCTGCATGCCTTTAAGAAAAATATGCCCGAGGATGGGTTTTTGGAACTGTCTGAGTGTTTCATTAAATATGCTGGAGGCCTTCCATTAGCTCTTAAAACTTTTGGGTCGGCATTGTTTAAGAGAGGGCTAGATTTTTGGAATAGTACACGGGATAATCTATCAAAAATTCCTAATACAGAAATTATTCATAAACTTAAAATAAGTTATGATGAACTAGAAGAGATGGAGAAGAGCATTTTTCTTGAGGTTGCATGTCTCCACAAAGGGAAGTACAGAAAGAAAGTAATTGAAACACTAGATATTTCTTTTGGAATTTCTAGTAGTACTATGATAGATGTACTAATTGAGAGATCTCTCCTCTATCAAGATCGCAGCGAATGTATATGGATGCATGACTTGATACAAGATATGGCACGTGAAATTGTTCGTCGAGAGTCTAAAGAGCCTGGTCAGCGCACTAGGTTGTGGCTTTACGATGACATCGATCAGATATTTAGGAAGAATAAGGTAAGAAGTTAAATACCAAGTTTGGAAGAAGATATTGATTTCTTTTGAAATTATATTAGACTTGAATGTGAAATTAATTTGTCCTTTTTTTCTTAATTGTTAGGGAACGGCAGCAATTGAAGCCATATCCTTACGCTTGTCCAACATAGAAGAGGTGCCCCAGTGGAATTGTGAAGCCTTCTCTAAGATGGAGAGACTGAGGTTTTTGGAATTCAATAATTTGATCTTTTCTTCAGGCCCCAAATCTCTTCCATGTTCCTTGAGAATTATAAATTGGAGTTGGTATCCTTCTAATTTTCTTCCAACAAGCTTTCGCCCGCACTTGCTTGGTAAACTTGAGATGCGTAAGAGCAATCTTGTTCGTTTTTTGGGGGGAAAAGTGGTAAGAGTAGTTATGAACAAAAGATAATATTGGTTACTCACTAGTCAATACTCACATTTTGAGTTTGTCCAATGATATTTTAACACATTATTTTAAAAAATAATAGACATGTTATTTAATTTTTCTTGAGTTTTAAAAACAAGGAACCCTTGACATTTTTTTATTGTACAATCCCAAAGTTCCAAATTTATTCCATATTCATTGAGAATAAATGCTATTTAATTTACAAAATAATCATATATTTATTTATTTATTATTTTGAATAAACTTTAAGGTTGTGGAAGCTAAGTATATGATCTGAACCTTATCGGTGGTGTTGTACAGGACTTGCCCAACTTGAAACATATCGATCTTAGCAACTCCAATAAATTGAAGAGTACCCTAGATTTCAGTGGTCTTCCGAATCTTGAGGAGTTGTATCTTTCCGCTTGTAAGAATTTAGTTGAGATACATCCGTCTATTGCAGTCCTCAAAAGACTTAAAGTTTTGCAACTTGATGGCTGTAAAAGCATTAAGAGCCTCCCAAGTAAGGTTGAAATGGATTCTCTTGGAATTTTCGATCTTGATGGCTGCTCAAATGTGAAAACGATTCCAGAATTTGGGGAGCAGATGAAGAATTTATACTTCCTCAAGTTAAGCAAGACTGCGATCGAGAAAATACCTTCATCAATTGGACATGCGGTTGGCCTTAGGTATTTGCTTCTATGGAATTGCAAAAATCTCTTGTACCTTCCAAGGGCTATTTGTAATTTGAAGTCTCTTGCAGAGCTCGATGTGACTGGATGCTCCAAGATTGACAAACTCCCAGGAGACATGGATCACTTATGGCGGCTTAGAGTGGGACCCACTATGACAAAGCCGTTTGTGGGTATGAAAAAACTCACAGGTCTAACATTTACGAGAAATTATGACATGGTTTGGATGAATAATGTTAAAGCCACTTGTGGATCAGATGGTAAAGCAAGGGATGGGTGGGGCCTTCGCCGCTTATTTGGACTTGAAAAGAGTCGGCCTGATCCTCCTCCTTGTTGGCGTTTGGTGTTGTCTTCTCTAAATCGTTTATGCTCTTTGGAGTACTTAGATCTATACGATTGTAATCTCCAGGAGGGGGATATCCCTGATGATATTGGCTGCTTGTCCTTATTGATAACATTGTCTCTCAGCAGAAATAATTTCGTCAGTCTACCTGAAAGCATTAGACACCTTTCTAAGCTTAGGGATCTTCATCTGGAGGGGTGTAAAAGCCTTCAAAAATTGCCACCTCTTCCATCAAACAGAGGATTAAGGGTAGACCTGGACAATTGCACTTCCTTACGAAGTTTGTCAGGTGCATTCAATTTGTATGATGCTAGTGTCACTTGCCGGAATTGCATTGCATTGGTTGCAGATGAAGACTTGATTAATAGCTTTCTGAAATCTGTCATTCAGGTACTCTCTCTCTCTCTCTCTCTCTCTCTCTCTCTCTCTCTCTCTCTCTAAATAATTGATCTTTCTTCTGCTACAGGGATCGAAAATTGTAATCCCTGGAAGTGAAATTCCAAAGTGGTTCAATAATCAGAGTGTGGAACATTCAATAAATGTGGTGCTTCCTCCACCATCATGTACCAACTGGCTTGGGATTGCCTTGTGTGTTGTTTTTCAATACCCTTTACAAAATGTGGAGCTTCCTCATGGTCCTTTCAGATTTCACTGTTCAGTGAAACTTAGCCCTGAAATACTTGGCCCAGAATACCCTTTTGCTGCCTTATTATTACCGTCTACCTCATTATTACCGTCTCTTGTGTCAGAAAACCTTTGGTTATTTTATTTTCCTAGTCAATATTGTTTGCCTCGTGAAGATTGTCATCAAGTACAGGTTTTATTCAGAATTGTCTTTTTTGATGGTGGTTGGAGAGAACTAAAAGCAAACTTGAATATGGTGAAGAAGTGTGGGGCTTGTTTGGTGTACGAGCAAGATTTGAAAGAACTCAACCAAAAACTACTGAAACGAACATGCGAATATCGTGACGAGGCAGCTCTAAGTGGACCCGGAAGTGCTAGCTTCAACGACACAGAACAAATTTGCAAAAGGCGTTGTAACTAGTCACCATGTCACAAAAAATGCAAGTAAGTAACCATCGATTCATCACTTCAGCATGATTGTCATCAAAATTATTTTTTGTTTAGACATCTTAGTCAATGTAATCGATCTCTCGAGCTATATATTAAGATGGCTTTATTTACTGAAAGGGCAGAGTGGATAAGAATGTTGATGTATAAACACTTTTGCAGATTACTTGGGCATTAAGAAGATTGATTAACAATCTGATCATCTTGCCTAATGCAGCAAGTGAGTACCTTGGAAACTCGCAACGCCATGGGGGCCGCTCTGTCAGTCCAAATCTTAAGGTTCATTTTCTGAAGACGCCATTAGCATTAACATGTACACCAGGGATTGAATTCAAACTTCTTTACTCTGGCAGAAATTGATTTGTTTCTGTCTGATTTTGTAACCAATGCAAACTTGTAGTCCAGAAACAGAAACGTTGCTAAGGAAACAACACTTTTTGCTCAACAACTTTGCTTTGATTAAAACTTGGCTTTGGTGATGCAAAAACTAAGCATTGAGAGTATTTTTCCTGAAACTTAGAACGGTAGGTTTTCAGCTGAATTTGCGTACCCTTTCAAAACCCTATTTACACGGTAGTTTATGAAATTTAACTTCTGTTGAGATAAGGATGAATCACACAGATAACAAACCTGAGAGTATGACTGGAAACTAGAAGTCTGACTTGGTCTAACATCCCCCGGCAAGCTGACAGATAGTAGCTCACCTCTAATCACCTTCTCCCTGACATAATGATAATCAACTTCTAAGTGCTTGGTTCTTGAGTGGAAAACTGGATTGGATGCTAAGGCAATGGATTATCACACCAAATCTGTTATCTTAGGAGATTCTAATGTACGTCCCTAAACAACGAACATAACCAAGGCAACTCAGCGGCAGTGTATGCAAGCTGCCGATATTCAGCTTCAGTGCTAGACCTGGAAACTGTTTTCTGTTTCTTCGAACTCCACGAGATTAAGTTTTTACCCAAGCATATACAGAAGCCTCAGTTTATCATCCACATAGATTAGTAAGATGAGATAAAATAAGGGCGATGAGGGAAAACGTTCAACACAGGAAAAGACCAAAATCTAAGAATGAAGTAACCTAAAATTGCCATAAATTACAAAGAAAAGTAGGGTATAACACTAAAGAGCTACATTAGATATGTTATATAAATTTTGGATGGATCAGGCATTCTCTGTATCCTTAAATACTTTTATATTGCCATTCACAATATGCAAAAATTAAGGCAATGCAAACTATGGATTGACAATTCGTGGTTTTATATTGCCATTCACAATATGAACAGCTGGTACCATGCAAAGTTCCGTCCCCACCCCCCTAAGGTCCATTGGACCTATAGCTACACCAAGGGCGCAACCGTATCCCCATATACATGATAAACTTGGCTAAAGAATGTCGTTTTATATTTAAAGGTTGCACACACTCGCCCTAACTGATGCCTGACCTCGTTAGCAGTAGGCCATTTGTTATCACTAATCTCCAAAGTCAATTCAAAACAGCCACCATTTTTGTAGTTCCAATCTTGCATACCTCCATATACCAGAAAGCCCGATTCGTAATCCCTCCCTCAAATTCCTTGCGCAATGACATATTGTGGTGAGAGCGACTATATACACTTGGTAAGAACCGGAATGTCTCGTCGTCTGGACATGCAAATAATCTTTCCTGTAATTTAATTTCGATCAAAAGACAAGAGCATATGTGCAAAACAAAAATGAATAAGCGTTGGCATAAATTCTGGGATAATTGTTAGGCACCATCCGAAAATCCATAATCATATTAGAAGTAATTGGCAATGTTCATAACATTAGAGTAACACTTTAAGACCTACTATTGACATCACCATGCTTGTTAAACAACTTTTGTTTGGGCCTAAATAAGCCTACAAACCTAACCGGATGAACCGTTCGAACCGATACAACAATATTTTACATTATAGGGTTTGAATTAAATTGAGTAGAAATGTCACTAACTATATTAGTAGTGAAAAATTTGATTTTGGAAGTAGTTGTCTATTTCAGAGTGGATTTACCAGATGCCAAATGTAATTTATATAAATTTTCTCCTGTATTTACTAATCTGCAAGAAATTGAAAAAATAATTTTTCGTTTAAAATACCCAAAAATTAGGAAGCATATCAAGTAGGGGGCCATTTGATCTGGTTCTCTTTTCTTACTTTTCATATTTCTAAGTTATTTCATTCCTTGTCATTTGGTACTACGGTCTGGTGGTATTCCTCTTCACTTGGAAGTGAGAGATCTTAGGTTCGAATCTCGTGGATGGCGAATCGAATTCCATACCAAATTAGGTTACCCATTGTGTTTAGTTGAACTTCCCCTCTCCTTAGTGTAAAAATATATCGATGTCCTCAAAAAGTTATTTCATTCCTTTATTTTCTCATTTAAGATAAGTAAACATTGAATTAAGAGTTATATGGATCCAATATTGCAAATCATGTTTATGAACGAGTCTTGGTATGAGTCACAACTTAATCATGAGTGAAATCGTCACATGTGTAGTTCCAATGTTTTCATGCATAAGCTCACCGAAGGGTCTATTTCGTTTTCTCGGTTGGTCCAACTAGGTACGAAAGTACTCTGAAGGTAAAGTAAGGCTCAAGGAATACATCGTGTTGACAACATTATAACAATAATCAGGAAATACAATGGAGGTGTTTAGGTGAGAGCCTTGTGGCGCAGTGAACATCAATTTTGGTCTTGAGGACTAGAGGCAATGTTGACCAACTTCTTATGTCGAGTTTCAGGGGATAAAAATCAAGTTTGCAAGGGGCAAAATAGAGCAAACTATGAATCTAAGGGAGTGAGGTGGCGATTTTTGAGTTACAGGGAGTAAAATGAGATTAAAATCGAAGGTGTAGATAAAAATAAGCTCATTTGTTTACTTTCTTGGTTTAATCATGTAATTTAAAGATTATTTGGTTATTATCCAAATTTCCAAATAAATGTTGGAAGGCAAACAAACTAGTCGAGAGGTAATATTGCAGAAGTGCTGATTCACTTGGAAGAATGGAACAGGAACATATAGGATAAATAGACAGGAATGGCATGAATTAGATTTTTTGAGGAACATATCGAGAGAGAATTGGTTAAACAATGTGTGGTTGTTAAACAAGGATCATCATTATGCATTGTGTTTGTGAATTGTGCTGAGAACAAGTCAATCCTATCAAGTTTCTGTACACAGAAGGGTACATGAATCATGCTCTTGATGATTCAATATGTCATCAAATGGTTTGGATTACAATTGTTTATGAAGAAATTGGGATTTCACCATAAAATCAATTGGCTATATAGAGAGTAGCCTAACTACTTATTAGTTCATGCAAGGTTCTTCCTCCCATCAATATATGACTCATTCTCAACACGCCCCTTTACGTGTGACGAATTTTCAAATCTAACACGTGGATAACACAACGGGGTGACATTGAGCGCATGTGACTGTTTGACCGTTTGACTTCACACGTGGGACAACCTGCTCTAATACTATGAAGAAATTAAGGTTCCACCATAAAACCAATTGACAATATATGGAGTAGTTCAACTACTTACAGAACAATAATTAGACATATCCAATTTGCAAGTAGAATTAGAAGCTCAGAGCCTACAGGTTCATCTCCATGCACATTTCCAATGCACTGCTGCACCCAGCATATTTTTTTTAAAAATGTTCAAACTATCACTTGAAATTGCATAAATAAGTAACAATCGATTTACATTCAGGGGAATGGAAAAGAAACAAAAGAAAGCTTTCATGTAGCACACCGAATACTAAAATACTACACTGTCACCTATACAAACACTCAATAAACTGAAATCCGGGTAGTACGTAAAACTTTTTCCACAAAAAGTGAAATTCATGACTTCATTTTTCAACAGTAAACACGAAATACTACACTTCGATCTTTTGGCATGTACTAATAAGTTATAATCTTTTTCATACTACAGCTTCTCAGTTTCATTATAAGTTTCTTGTGGTCATAAGTGGCTCATAGTAGTTTCCTTCATTTGTTTCCATACAAGATCAGAGAAAAAGTAACAAAAAATTGTGACTAAAACTGCCATCAAAACACATACAATTGATAGAGTCTGTCCTTTCTCAAGGACAAGTAACATAATTGAACTAGCGGAATGAATAAAACTTTTATAAAGACTGCAGATGGAATATCTCCAATACCAGAATCAACTCAAATTGGTGGTAAATAGGTACTGCACCCTTCTGGATTCAAAGGTGTCGCACTTTTTTAACTTCCACTGATGGGCAATCAATGTAAACTTCCTATATTTAAGTTTCTGACCCTTATTCAGCGTTATTGTTGCAAAAAGATTTCAGATACTGGTGTCTGCATCCTTATTACACAGCTCTATGGTTAAATTCAGTTTCAACCAGCTGCAAGGACTAATTTGTGCTAATCTCGACAGAGTCAAAGCAGATTCCTGTTCTTTTGAATAATAACTTTTTCGGGGTTATGGAACAAATATAATTTCTACGTTATTATATACAGAGAGGAAGGGGGGACACTACTGCGTTTTCCTTCAAAAATCCTGCCATGTTCCAAAAAATTGATTGTATATAGGACGGATTAAAATTTCAGGATTCAAAAGTTTTTACCAAATAGCAGCTTGGATACAATTTGGATAAATTAATATTCATGAGATTAAATCAGCATAATCATCATGAGATGCACAAACAAAAATTCTACAGTAAAAATCCTGCACTTATCCAGCTCAAACTATCAAACTACTACTAACAAATACCATTGTTTTATTTCATATACTAACGAGTGGTAAACTTATAATCTGGTAAATGTTAAAAATGCACAAGCCCACGTAATCACCTGTAAACCCTAGAAATGTTACTGCATCTTTGGCTGAACGCCTTAATAGCCCGTTCCAGGTCAAATTCTTGATGCTTAAAGATTTAGTTTCCCTTTCTAGTAGCGCTAACCCACCTTAACTGTAAAGATTTTAAGAAAGCAACAGGCGTGATAATCTATCTGATCACAATTAACTACCGTTTGGCACCTGAGAAATCAAAGGAAAATTTTTCAAATTACTACTTGTTCTTGTAATCTCAGTTTTCCAATTCCCAAAGAACTAAATTCACACACATACATATAAAATGCATACAAATATGTATATCTATATATATATGACAGATAAGGAGATGGGGACCTGGAGGGTAGGAACTGTGAAGGCCGCCTCTAGCAGTGGCAGGACTAAGAAAAGAGGAGAAGCTGAGAGAAAGGAAGAGGATGGAAGGAGCAAGCTTCATGATGTGATCTTTGGGGTTGACGGTTGTGGCGATGGAGCTCCAGCATCGGATTCAGGAAGCCATTGTTAGAACTTGGAAGGTGATAAAAGAAGATGAAAACGTAACGACGAAGATCGGAGATGCCGGATCGCGGGAAAATGGGCTGCAAATTCCAATGGAAGAAAGGTAACGGGGACTTGGAGATATGGGTTGCAAATGGATCTCGGCCCATTTACAACAATGTTTTACATTAAAGGATTTGAATTAAATTGAAGAGAATTGTCACTAAACTATATTAGTAGTGACAAAAATGATTTTGGAAGTGGTTGTCTATTTCTGAGGTAATTTAGCAGCTGCCGAATGTAATTATCTAAATCTTCTCTCGTATTTACTAACTCGTAAGAAATGGGAAGAATGGTAGTTTTCTTTTAAATTCGTTATCAAAGACCTGAAGGTAAGGAAGCATCAACTAGGGGGGGCTAGTTGATCCGATTCTTTTTCCTCACTTTTTTATATTTTTAAGTTCTTTTATTCCTTCATTTTCTCATTTCTGATAAGTAAATATTGAATTGAGAGTTATATAGATCCAATGTTGCATATCGTGTTTATGAACGAACCTTGATAAGAGTCGCAGCCTAACTCTAAGTGAAATTATCACGTAAGTAGGGCCAATGTTTTAATGTTTAGGCTCAAAGGGTCGATTCCGTTTTCCTAGCTCTAAGTTGGTCAAATTAGGTCCGAAAGTACTCTAAAGGTAGAGTAAGGCTCAAGGAATACTGCATTTGCACTACATCATAACAATAATAAGGAAATACAATGGAGGGGTTTAGTAGAGAGCAGTAAACATCAATTTAGATCTTTGAGGACTAGAGGCAATGTAGGCCAACAATGTCTTATGACAACTGTTGAATTGAATATAGAAAGTCAGAAGTGACAAAATATTTCCTTATGTCGCTACTAGCTACGAATCAGATATGACCAATTGAAGAAAGAAAATAAAGTTGATTTACTTTCTTGGTTTGATCATCTAATTTAAATATTATTCGATTATTTTTCCAAATTTCTCAATAAATGTTGAAAGGCAAACAAACTCGGATTTAAGTTCTGTATAAGGAAGGGTACATGAATCCTGCTCTTGATGATTCAATATGTCATAAAATAGTTTGGATTAAATTTGTTTCAAATACTACTTGGGCTTCAGATTTCATACCACAATCGAAAACACTTATCAATTGCAGCTGACTGGGAATAAATTTGGTGAGCCCTTGAGTCAGGGCTATACTGGATCAAAGAGTTCTTCGACCTGCTCGCTCAGGCACTGCAGAACGATCCCAAAAAGGATGAGAAAAGTTTCATAGTGGATGAAATATTGCACCCAATGAGAAAAGTTACAAAGAGACATGAAATCTTTTCTTAGAAGAAAGTTGGGAACTTACTCAGAAATACTGCACCCAATGACTTTGGTGAGGAGAGAAAAGGTAAAGAAATATAACACGTACCTACATGGAATCTTCCTGGAAATTTTCCCATAGGCGGTCCCCCACCTTTTTTTTGTGGAAAACAATTTGTCCTTGCGACATTAGCATTACGATATTATAGTATTCATCTTCATTTGTCAGTGAGAATTCTTCGATTTTCGTCAAAAACGAATTTGAACCATATTATTGCTAGCCTATTGTAAGTTTAATCACATTTTCTAATTTTTAGTGTAGATAATATCGTTTATTAAAAATAAAAATAAAAATTCTCCTTTCAGTTTGGTAGTAGATGTGATTAATGGCTTGCTAATAAATTAAGGTTTCATAATATGTTTCCCTTCAGCTTTTTTTCTTTAACAAATATTGGAAAGTGTACAACTCTTGCATGGGAATTTCCTTGCTATTTCTAAGAAATATTTTCTTAGAAGAAAGTTGGGAACTTGCTTAGAAATATTGCACCCAATCCCTTTGGTGAGGAGAGAAAAGGTTAAGAAAGATAACATGTCCCAACATGGAATCTTCCCGGAAATTTTCTCATAGTCGGTCTCCCACCCTTTTTTCGTGGAAAACAATTTTTCCTTGCAACATTAGTACTACAATCTAATGATATTCATTTTTATTTGTAAGTGAGAATTATTAAGTTCAATTCTAATCAAAGACGAATTTAAACAATATTATTACTAACATATTGTAAGACTAAGCTCATCATTTTTATCCTTTAGTGTATATAATATCCTTTATTAAAAATAAAAAATAAAAACAATTTGTCCTTTCACTTTGGTAGTACGTGTGATTAATGACTTGCTAAAAATTAAGGTTTCATAGTATGTTCCCTTCAGCTTTTTCTCTTGAACAAGTATTGCGAAGTGTACAGTTTTTGCATGGGAATTTCTTTGTAGCTTCTTTTAGGGAAGTTTACGTTGCACCGAAGAGGTAGAGCGGTGTGATTTAAATTTATCCTTATTTTGCATCGTATTTTAATTTTATGATATGATAACACGTAAGAGATTAATTACACCATTATTTTAATATTCCTGTTACATAAAAAAGAATAATTCACCATCTGACATTATAAACCACTCTAAAGCTTGAGGACACCACCGCCACTACAACCAAAAGAAAAGCATCCAATGTCTTAAAATATTGCTGCTTGCGGCCTTTACATGGTCATCACGCGGTTTTCACATGGAGTTATTAAATCCAACAGTAAGCATTGGCCTAAGAGATTAAACAAAGATCGTTTGACCGTTTCATTTTTCTGTCTAACGAGAAATTTTATTAAATTAACTATCGACGGAGTATAAACTCATACCGTTATACAAATATTCAATATTTTTTTTATTATTGTTGTAAACGGTCATTTGCAAAAATGAATTAATCGTTGATGGTATTCAAACTCACGCTGTCGTGTAAAAATTCAACTCCTTTCTATCACTATAGTAAGTGGCCATTCGTTATAGCTTCGCTTTTTCTTTTTTCTTTTTTTTTTCTGGGACCACTACCAATTGTTTAGAATTTTAACCATTAAATGATTCATCATGGATCACCCAAGAATAAAAAATTTGAAACGATTTAAGGCCAATAGGAATTCATGCCTTGAAGATAGAAATGGCCATTAAATATTACTCCTGAACAACTAGTTTGCATTTTAGCATGTCATGAAGACATAATTTCATACGAGCTCTATAAATGAGAAACATGTTGATGTTTTGTACCATAAATGGAGTTGTAGATACATACGTGTTAAATAAAAGTAAAAAACATTAAGTGTTTGTACTAAAGAAAAGTAAAAAACTTGTGAAAATGTGTTAAAATGACTTAAATAACACTGAACACAAGTCATGTGCTAGGCACATGACATATATTGGATGGAAAACTTAACGGAGTTAAGGTGAGATGACAAATTAATGATTTTGTAAAGTTGGTACGAGAAATTGCTTAAAATTTTAGTTTATATGACAAATTGAAAAATATGAACAAGTTCATATGACATTTCAAAAATTAACTAGTTGTTCAAGGCATGCATTTTTCTTTGAATTCATGCCTTGAACCAGGAGTAATATTTCGCATGGAGCTAAACAGCCAATCAACTAGCTTGAGTCAAAGTTAGCCCAAGATCCTGTCCGGATTTTTTGGTGAGGATTATAGGAATCAGTAAATTATGTTTGTTTATTGTAAGTATGCGGTCAGATTTTGTTAGGTAATATTTATGTTTAATTTTAAATAAAAATTATTTAAAATAATTTCTGACCACATGATATACGATAAATAAATACGATTTACGAATCCTAAATCCTTACAAAAAGGATCCGGTGAGGATCCGGATTCAAAGTTAGCGGCCTAAATAAGATGAGGATCCGGAATGTGGCAGAGCCACTAAATTCAACAGTAAGCGTCGGCCTAAGTGATCAAACAAAGATCGTTTGACCGTGGGTTAGTGGTATCTTGTTCCCTTTAGCTTTTTTTCTTGAACGAATATTAGAAAGTGGACAGTTCTTGCAGGGGAAATTTCCTTGTTGCTTCTTCCAGGGAGATTTATATTGCACAGCAATATTACCACCACCACCACCACTTCCTGTAGATGCACTCGGCTGTCCATCTCTCTTCAATTTATTTCCTTTCCTACCTCCATCTCAATTTCCTCTCTTCCTACGACTTTGTTGTGGGAATTTTCAGTGTCATTGTTCTGCTACTTTCATTGCCATTTGTCACTTCTCTCTGCCTGTGTAAGTCTCTGCTGATCATGTATTTTGTTTTTCTGATATTTTTTCTGATCTTTTGTTTAATATACATTTTCAATTACTGAAACAACTTTAAAGTTTCTATTTTCGTTTCACTGCTCGTTTTTGTTTTACTTGTTCATTGACTACTGTTTTTGTTTGCAGGATCCATTTTCCGGTAACTGAATATGATCAACTACTTAAACTGAGTTACCTGGACTGTAAGATCAAATCAAATTGTCAAATATGTGTTGACACGGTCAAATATCTGACCGGAGTGAGTCCCTGTAATTGCGTATAAAAATTGCATCTTGTAAATTATCAAAAATAGATTTAAAGTTTCAAATTTTGTTGTTTTTGAATTTTAGAACATGGATCTTCTATTGTTTTTACTTGTTCATTCAGTTCCTGTTTCATATGTGCAGCACCCAATTTGCAGCAACTGTTCTTCCTATGGCATTGAGCACCCAAAGAGCCTCTGCATCTTTTCTTTCGAATGAATCAGCTTCTTTATGGAAGTATGATGTGTTTTTGAGTTTCAGGGGTGTAGACACCCGCAGGGGCTTTGTATCCCATTTACACCATGAATTGTCCAAGTGCCAAGGAATTACGACTTTCATGGACGATCGAGAGCTTAAAGGAGGAACAAGTATTCATCTTGAGCTCCCAAGTGCGATCAAAGAATCGCATATTGCAATTGTTGTTCTCTCACCGAACTATGCTTCTTCCAAATGGTGCTTGGACGAACTTACAACCATTCTTCGATGCATGGAATCCAGGAACTCAGTTCTGCCGGTCTTTTATCAGACAGATCCATCTGACGTCGGAAATCAACGGGGATGTTTTGCCGAAGCCTTTACGAAGCATGAACAAAATTCGAGCAGTACCGAAGATAAAGAGAGGGTGGTCCAATGGAAAGCTGATCTAAAAAAAGTGTCCAAAATTTGTGGTTGGCACTCGAAGGAATCTAAGTAAGCATGCATGAACTTTAATTTCCTATGTCTTAGCAGAGTCAAAATTGGATGCTTCATTTATGTTTTTTTGATTGGTTATTTCATACCATGTAGGAGTGAAAGTGAGATTATACAACAACTCGTCAAAAGTGTGTGGAGGAAAGTGCAAGCTACATTCCCGTTGTTAGATTCCTCACAGGAATTAGTTGGGGTTAATTTTGGTCTTGGGCAAATAAGTTCGTTGTTAGCTCATGATGTCAATGATGTTCGCTTTATAGGGATAACGGGGATGGGTGGCATTGGTAAGACAACCCTTGCTAAGCTTGTTTATGATAGAATCTTCCATCATTTTGAAGTTCACTGCTTTCTTGAAAACGTTAGAGAGGCTTCTACAGCAGACCCTACTCTAATTCGTCTTCAAGAAACACTTCTTTCACCGATGTTGAAAGAAAAGATTCTTACGCAACAATGGGGAATCAATTACACCAAGAGATGCTTACGGAACAAAAAGGTTCTTCTTGTACTTGATGATGTGGATCACATAAACCAACTAAAAGTACTAGCTGGAAAGGACGAGTGGTTTGGCATGGGAAGCAGAATTATCATTACAACTAGAAATGAACGTCTGCTAGTCGAGCATGGCATAATATTATGTCATAATGTTGAGGTGTTAAATGATGATGAAGCTCTTGCACTGTTTAGCCTGCATGCCTTTAAGAAAAATATGCCCGAGGATGGGTTTTTGGAACTGTCCGAGTGTTTCGTTAAATATGCTGGAGGCCTTCCATTAGCTCTTAAAACTTTTGGGTCGGCATTGTTTAAGAGAGGGCTAGATTTTTGGAATAGTAAACGGGATAATCTGTCAAAAATTCCTAATACAGAAATTATTCATAAACTTAAAATAAGTTATGATGAACTAGAAGAGATGGAGAAGAGCATTTTTCTTGACGTTGCATGTCTCCACAAAGGGAAGTACAGAATGGAAGTAATTGAAATACTAGATATTTCTTTTGGAATTTCTAGTAGTACTATGATAGATGTACTAATTGAGAGATCTCTCCTCTATCAAGATCACAACAAATATATATGGATGCATGACTTGATACAAGATATGGCACGTGAAATTGTTCGTCAAGAGTCTAAAGAGCCTGGTCAGCGCAGTAGGTTGTGGCTTTACGATGACATCGATCAGATATTTAGGAAGAATAAGGTAAGAAGTTAAATACCAAGTTTGGAAGAAGATATTGATTTCTTTTGACATTATATTAGACTTGAATGTGAAATTAATTTGTCCTTTTTTTCTTAATTGTTAGGGAACAACATCAATTGAAGCCATATCCTTACGCTTGTCCAACGTAGAAGAGGTGCCCCAGTGGAATTGCGAAGCCTTCTCTAAGATGGAGAGATTGAGGTTTTTGGAATTCGATAATTTGATCTTTTCTTCAGGCCCCAAATATCTTCCATGTTCCTTGAGAATTATAAATTGGAGTTGTTATCCTTCTAATTTCCTTCCAATAAGCTTTCGCCCGCACTTGCTTGGTAAACTTGAGATGCGTAATAGCAATCTTGTTCGTTTTTTGGGGGGAAAAGTGGTAAGAGTAGTTATGAACAAAAGATAATATTGGTTACTCACTAGTCAATACTCACATTTTGAGTTTGTCCAATGATATTTTAACACATTATTTTAAAAAATAATAGACATGTTATTTAATTTCTCTTGAGTTTTAAAAACAAGGAACCCGTGACATTTTTTTATTGTACAATCTCAAAGGTTCCAAATTTCTTCCATATTCATTGAGAATAAATGCTATTTAATTTACAAAATAATCATATATTTATTTATTTATTATTTTGAATAAACTTTAAGGTTGTGGAAGCTAAGTATATGATCTGAACCTTATCGGTGGTGTTGTACAGGACTTGCCCAACTTGAAACATATTGATCTTAGATGCTCCAATAAATTGAAGAATACCCCAGATTTCAATGGTCTTCCAAATCTTGAGAACTTGAAGCTTTCCGCTTGTAAGAATTTAGTTGAGATACATCCGTCTATTGCAGTCCTCAAAAGACTTAAAGTTTTGCATCTTGATGGCTGTGAAAGCATTAAAAGCCTCCCAAGTAAGGTTGAAATGGATTCTCTTGTAGAATTCAATCTTGGTGGCTGCTCAAATGTGAAAACGATTCCAGAATTTGGGGAGCAGATGAAGAATTTATTCGCGCTCACATTAGACTACACTGCGATCGAGAAAATACCTTCATCAATTGGACATGCGGTTGGCCTTAGGTATTTTAGTCTACGGAAATGCAAAAATCTCTTGTACCTTCCAAGGGCTATTTGTAATTTGAAGTCTCTTTACCATCTCGATGTGATTGGATGCTCAAAGATTGACAAACTCCCAGAAGACATGGATCACTTATCGTGGCTTAAAGTGGGACCCACTATGACAAAGCCGTTTGTGGGTATGAAAAATCTCGAAGCTCTAATATGTACGAGAAATTATGACATGGTTTCGATGAGTAATGTTAAAGCCACTTGTGGATCAGATGGTACAGCAAGGGATGGGTGGGGCCTTCGCCACTTATTTGGACTTGAAAAAAGTCCCCCTGATCCTCCTCTTTGTTGGCATTTGGTGTTGTCTTCTCTAAATCGTTTATGCTCCTTGACATTCTTAGATCTATGTGATTGTAATCTCCAGGATGGGGATCTCCCTGATGATATTGGCTGCTTGTCCTTATTGACAACATTGTATCTCAGCAGAAATAATTTCGTCAGTCTACCTGAAAGCATTAGACACCTTTCTAAGCTTGGGGGTCTTCATCTGGAGGGGTGTAAAAGCCTTCAAAAATTGCCACCTCTTCCATCAAACAGAGGATTAACGGTAAATCTGGACAATTGCACTTCCTTACGAAGTTTGTCAGGTACATTCAATTTGTATTTTGCTAGTGTCACTTGCTGGAATTGCATTGCATTGGTTCTAGATGAAGACTTGATTAATAGGTTTCTGAAATCTGTCATTCAGGTACTCTCTCTCTCTCTCTCTCTCTTTCTCTCTCTCTCTCTCTCTCTTCTCTCTCTCTCTCTCTCTCTAAATACTTGATCTTTCTTCTGCTACAGGGATCGAAAATTGTAATCCCTGGAAGTGAAATTCCAAAGTGGTTCAATAATCAGAGTGTGGGACATTCAATAAATGTGGAGCTTCCTCCACCATCATGTACCAACTGGCTTGGGATTGCCTTCTGTGTTGTTTTTCAATACCAAGACCCCTTACAAAATGTGGAGCTTCCTCATTATTGTCGTTTCAGAATTCACTGTTCTGTGGAACTTGTTAGCCCTGAAATATTTGACCCAGAATACCCTTGGACTACCTTATTATTACCGTCTCTTGTGTCAAAAAACCTTTGGTTATTTTATTTTCCTCGTCAATATTGTTTGCCTCGTGAAGATTGTCATCAGGTACAGTTTTTATTCGGAATTGACCTTTTTGATATTGATGGGAGAGAACTAAAAGCAAACTTGAATATGGTGAAGAAGTGTGGGGCTCGTTTGGTGTACGAGCAAGATTTGAAAGAACCCAACCAAAAACTACTGAAACGAACATGCGAATATCATGACGAGGCAGCTCCAAGTGGACTCGGAAGTGCTAGCTTCAACGACACAAAACAAATTTGCAAAAGGCGTTGTAACTAGTCACCATGTCACAAAAAATGCAAGTAAGTAACCATCGATTCATCACATCAGCATAATTGTCATCAAGATTATTTTTTGTTTCGACATCTTAGTCAATGTAATCGATATCTCGGGCTATATATTAAGATGGTTTTATTTACTGAAAGGGCAGAGTGGATAAGAATGTTGATTTATAAACACTTTTGCAGATTACTTGGGCATTAAGAAGATTGATTAACAATCTGATCATCTTGCCTAATGCAGCAAGTGGGTACCTTGGAAACTCGCAACGCCATGGGGGCTGCTCTGTCAGTCCAGTTCTTAAGGTTCATTTTCTGAAGACGCCATTAGCGTTAACATGTAAACCAGGAGTTGATTTGTTTGTGTCTGATTTTGTAACTAATGCAAACTTGTAGTCCAGAAACAGAAACGTTGCTAAGGAAACAACACTTTTTGCTCAACAACTTTGGTTTGATTAAAACTTGGCTTTGGTGATGCAAAAACTAAGCATTGAAAGTATTGTGCCTGACATCATTGGTAGGTTTTCAGCTGAACTTGCATACCCTTTCAAAACCCTATTTACTAGGTAGTTTTGAAGTTTAAACTTCATACTAATTTTTATTTTTTATTTTTGTCAAAAGCAAATCATACTAATTAACTCAGCTAAGAAATATTCAAATAATCCCAGACCTAACAGACTTGTGTTGAGATAAGGATGAATCACACAGATAACAAACCTGAGAGTATGATTGGAAACTAGAAGTCTGCTTTGGTCTAACATCCCCCGGCAAGCTGACAGATCGTAGCACAACTGGAAGCTTGGACACCAGCAGTTTAAATCGAAATGAAGATAACCCTTCGTGAACAAATCAGCAATTTGATCTTGTGAACAAATAAAATTCACTAGTAGCTCACCTCTAATCACCTTCTCCCTGAAATAATGATAATCAACTTCTAAGTGCTTGGTTCTCGAGTGGAAAACTGGATTGGATGCTAAGGCAATGGAAGACAAATTATCATACCAAATCTGTTATCTTAGAAGATTCTAATGTATGTCCCTAAACGACGAACATAACCAAGGCAACTCAGCGGCAGTGTATGCAAGCTGCCTATATTCAGCTTCAGTGCTAGACCTGGAAACTGTTTTCTGTTTCTTCGAACTCCATGATATTAAGTTTTTACCCAAGTATACACAGAAGCCTCCAGTTGAATGGCGTGTGTCTAGGTTCTCTACATAATCTGAATCAGAGAAAGCAGTCAATTGTACACCTCCAGGTCTATAAACTAGACCCTGATCATAGGTAGCCTTCTGATAACGTAGGATCCTCAGTGTTGTTGGGCGAATGTAAGGACTGACACACTTGGTTCACAACATAAGAAAGATCAGGTCTCGTAATGGTCAAATGATGTAGGGCACCTACAACACTTTGGTATAATTCAATCCCCAAAAGCACTCAGTTTTTGTCCAGAAGAAATTGGAGTCGAGATTGGCTTGGCATTGGTAAATTTAATGCATTTGATCACCAGAGCATGTTACTTCAACACCTAGGAAGTAGTTGAGAGGACCCAAGTCCTTCAGGAAAATAAAGTGCCCAGTCTCTTTATCAACCGAGCCATTTGATAAGTGTTGTTTCCTGTGAGCAATATATCATCCACATAGATTAGTAAGGTGAGATATACTCCTCTTTGATTGAACACAAACAAAGAATAATCACACTTGGATTTTATATACTCCTCTTTGATTAAACACAAACAAAAAATAATCACACTTGGATTCTTGAAATCCCAATTGAAGCAAGAAATCATAGAATATCTGAAACCAAGCTCTCGGCGCTTGTTTTAACCCATATACACTGTGCTGCAACTTGTAAACATGGTGCAGGTACTGCTTGTCAATGAAACCCGCTGTTTGTTTCAGATAAACTTCCTCAGTGAGATAACCACGCAAGAAAGCGTTCTGGATGTCCAACAGCCTTACATGCCCCTTCTTTGACACTGCCAAACCAAGCGCAAGCCGAATGGGACTGTGCTTTACAACAGGACTAAAAGTCTCGTTGCAGCCAATCTCTGGTTTTTTATGAAAACCATTGGCCATAACCTCGCCTTATGTCTCTTGATCGAACCATATGCACGTCGTTTTATCTTGAATACCCACTAGTTTGGAAGAAGATTCATGGTGGGATGATAAGGAACAAGGCTCTAGGTACCATAGCGCTGCAAAGCACTAAATTCTTGAGCGGCAGTTTTCTCAAGAAAGAAGATTCATGTTAAGTTACTAAACTTCAAATTCAGTGGTAAATACCGCGTCTGAGACTCGTTATCTTCAAACAATTGCCTGCCGGAACCAGCGCGAAGACCAAATTCGAAACCAACATTTAACTTACAATTAGCTAAATTCTTAATGCTTAAAGATTTAGTTTCCTTTTTCTAGTAGCGCTAATCCACCTAGACTGTGAAAAATTAAGAAAGTAATAGGCATGATAATCTATCTGATCATAATTAACTACCGTTTGGTTCCTGAGAAATCAAAGGAAAAATTTTCAACTTGTTCTTGTAATCTCAGTTTTTCATCTTCCAAAAACAACCAAGAAACTAAATGAATACAGATGCAAATACACACACATATACATAAAATGCATACAAACATATATGTATATGTATATGTATATGTATATGTATATCTATATATATATATACACACACACTACAGTTGAGATGGGGACCTGGAGAGTAGGAAAGTTGAAGGCCGCCTCTGGCAGTGGCAGGACGAAGAAAAGAGGAGAAGCTGCGAGAGGAAGAGGATGGAAAGAGCAAGCTCCATTCTGTGATCTTTGAGGTTGACGATGGAGACGATGGAGCTGGATTCAGGAAGCCATTGTCTATTTCTATGGGAAGTTCCTAGCTGTCGAATGATTTTAGAAGTAATTATCTAAATGTTCTCTTGTATTTACCAACTCGTAAAAACTCGGAAAAATGTTTCTTTAAATTCGTTATCAAATACCTAAAAATAAGGAAGCACATTAACTAGGGGGCTAGTTGATCCGATTCCCCTTCCTTACTTTTTATATTTTTTAAGTTCTTTCGTTCCTTCATTTTTTCATTCCTGATAAGTAAATATTGAATTAAGAGTTAAATGGATCTAATGTTGCATATTGTGTTTATGAACGAGCCTTGGTAGGAGTCACGGTCTAATCCTAAGCGAAATTGTCACGTATATAGGGCCAATGTTTTAATGTTTAGGCTCATCAAAGGGTCAATTCGGTTTTCCTACCTCTGACTCTCTAAGTTGATCAAGTACTCAAAGTAACGCTCAAGGAATACTTCATTTGCACAACATGATAACAATAATAAGGAAATACAATGGAGGGGTTTAGTAGAGAGGCTGCTTGTGGCGTAGTAAACATTAATTTAGGTCTTGAGGACAAGAGGCAATGTAGACCAATCTCTTATGACAATTGTTGAATTGAATTTAGAAAGTCAGAAGTGACAAAACATTTCCTCATGTTGCTACCAACTACGAATCATAAATGATCAATTGAAGAAAGAAGATAAGGTCGATGAATGATTAAGCGAAACTTGGCCTTAGAGACCAATGAAATGCGACCTATAAGCTTTATTACACAAAAGTACTTTGAAGAGCTCTTCTTCTGCTTCCATGCTTACTTTTTCTATAGGTCTTGAGGACTAAAGCAATGTTGACCAACCTCTTGTGACAAATGTTGAATAGAATTTAGAGTCAGAAGTGACAAAATGTTTCCTTATATTGCTATCAACTATAGATCAGATATGATCGGTTGAAGAAAGAAGATAAGATTGATGAATGATTAAGCGATATTTTACTTTAGATACCAATAAAATGCGACTGAGACATTTTATTACACAAAAGTTATTTGAAGACCTCTTGCTTCTGCTATAGGTCTTGAGGACTAGAGGTGATCTTGACCAATCTCTTATGACAACTGTTGAACTGAATCTAGCCATCAAATTTTGTAGCCTCCTCCAACCATCACCCAATTGAACGTAGCCATCAAATTTGAGTTATTCCAACTATTGGTCTTGCTTGTAAAGAATGAAGTTAATTCGTCAGCAACTGCATCATGTACGGTGTTATCTTCAGTCGTCCACTATTTTTCAAACGATTGAGGTTTGGCTTTAGTTAAAGCATCTCCAAAAGAGATGTCAAAAGATAAATGTCAAATGTTAATTTGATGACTGATATGGTAATGTCAGATTTTCTCTTTTTCCAACCGATATGTTTTTTTTTTTTTTGTGATAAATGATATTTGTATGACTCATTTTAAAAAGAAATCAATTAAAGTACATTTTTCAAGATCTATAATTGGTGCATTAATAGGACCCACATAATAGAATAATTAAAAAACAATTAACATCACATATTCTCATATGTCAAATTTGACATATGAAAACTCATATCTCAATCCACATAGGATTGACATATCGGTTGGAATTCACTTCTACTTTCAAATTTGATTACATGAAATTTCACCTAAGATTTGACATCTTTTTTGGAGATGGTATCAGAGGTGATCAACAACAAGATGGGCAACCAAGAAATGTCAAAAACTCTGGACACGTGTAAGGCTACTTTACCAACACCTAATGCATTGCATGTCAATATAAATGATCTGGGTCGATCTCAATGGTTAATTATCCTTTGATTGCACTGTTAATCAACTTTGTTAAAATAATGACACAGTTCAGCTACTGGTATTGAGCCGCAGACAAACGACCACCGATTCCCTTAATTTTATAATTAGTAAATTGTTAGTGAAGACGATGCATAATATATTCCTTCATCATGGAGCCTCTTTTGTCTTTGTCCTATCGTTCTAGAGTCTTCTTAAGGGAGGGGTCGATTCGATTCCCTTGGGGTAGATTTACAGTGTTAACTCTTTGGGGCTTTTGGATCTAGTCCAAAAATATAGGTAGTTTTTGGGATTAGATCCAATTATCCAATTACATATTTTGATATCAATTTTGTCCCTTTTGACAAAAAATTT